TGTTAGAAATGCAGAATCTCGGGGCGCCTGGGTGGCTCAGTGGGTTAAGCCTCTGCCTTCGGCTCAGGTTGTGATCTCAGGTCCTGGGATGGAGCCCCACATCGGGATCTCCACTCAGCGGGGAGCCTGCTTCCTCCTCTCTCTCTGCCTGCCTCTCTGCCTACCTGTGATCTCTGTCTGTCAAATAAATAAATAAAATCTTAAAAAAAAAAAAAAAAGAAATGCAGAATCTCATACCCCACCCTCGACTTGCAGGTCAGAATCTGCCTCTTAACCAGATCACCAGATATTCCTGTGTACTTTAAAGTTAGAGAATCAGTGCTCGAACAGACCTCCCCACACTCTGTCTCCTCCATTACATTCTCTCCCTGTATCCAGTGTGATCTTTAAACAACATAAATATGTTTATACCATTTTGCTACTTGAAGTTCTTTAATGGTTTCCTATCTCACTTATAAAGTTCTAACTCTAGACAATAACGTACAAAGTCCTACAAGATCTGGTTCTTACTAACTACTATTTACGCTGACTTCCCCCTCCTTTCAGTTCTTAGACCACACCGTGCTTGGTTTTACCTGTAGGACTTGCCTCATTGTTTCCTTTACTCTGAACACTTCCCTGCTGCTCTTGGCATGATCTTAAATCTTCTTAACCTTTCATTTCAGCTTTGAAATGTACAGATGTACATTTTCTTTGGAGAAAATGTACTTGACCACTCTAAGGAGGTTTCTCCAGTTTTTCTCTATTATAACCATGCTGGTTTCATTTATAGCATGTATCTCAATTTGGCATTATATTATCTATTTATTTCTCTAACAATTGTCCATTTCCTCTCTTGGAATATATAAGGGTAAAACCCATGACTAATTCCCTAGTCCTTTCCTAGTCCTTAACTTCCCTGAATAGAGAATATACTCTATAAATATCCGTTCAACAAATAAATAAGCCATACTGTTGTTATGTTTCTTATTGAATTTTTTAAAGAGTATATAATGAAAGAGAAATTGTTAGTGTTTATAATTCTTGCCATTGTTCCTAGTTGTTTTTGGCTTTTTTTTTTTTTTTTGTCATTTTACCCAAGTTATGCTGTAAGCTATAAAGATTCTGGAAGGTTTTCCTAATACCAAATTTGAACATTATCAGCATAGTGATTTTTTTTCTCCAAGCTATTTGCAAATGTTAGCTAGTTCTCATTTACCTACTGTATCCAACAAATATTGTCCTTATATCAAATATCCAGCCATCTCCTTAATGGAAACCAGAAAGTGTTGTCTACAAGTATAATTGCCTTGGTCCAGAGTTGATGAGGAAACATATTGAACAAATATTCTTTTTTCTTTTCTTTTCTTTCTTAAGAGAGTGCTGTAAAGGATGTAGGGGTAATGAGTTCAAGGACTGATGTCTTGAAATATTAGGCTGCAACTGATGTTTAACCCAGGGTCAGAAAAAGAAAACTCCCTTGTGATGTATCATTGCACAATTGCATAAAGCACATGTGTAATAGAGACTTATATCTTTCCCTGAAACATCTGGCATTACTCATCATGAGAAGCAGGTGCCTAGGTTGGATGGACCATATGTCCGTTCCAGGATGACACATTTCTGTTGTTTCTGGGTTGCATTTTAATTTTCTTTGGCTCTTGTCAATGCAAGCACATTAGTGATCAAAATGATAATGCAGAGAAATATTGCCTAAGAATGAGGGTAAACAAGGTAGCTGTTGCTTCTAGCTTGATGAAGTTCTGGGTTGCAGAAAATTAGTAAGCCATCCTGTGACTGACAGCCCATGACAGTCCAGATGTAATGCTGGTATACTTGCTGTGACAGGTTGAGTTCCAGCTTCCATGGATGGAACTTGTCTTCAAATGGAGGGTTTGCCTGCTAGCTAGCCAAAGTCTTTGTTAGGTGTTAGCTAACCATGGGTCAGAGTGTCATAAAAGTTTTCTGAGTGGAGCCCTTTTCTCTCACATAAGCTATTGTGTCTCATAGGATGAAGGATTGTGAAAGTACTGGAACAAATTTTACAAATGCACAGTTCTTTAGCCAGGGTACATCTTGTCACACTTACTAAGAGAACATGGTGAAGTCACCTGTCCTGTTGTGCTGTTCTCCCTTGTTTTACTCTAGCGTGGTATTAAATCATCAATTGTTAGATTTCCAGGATGGAAACCATCTGGTTATTCAGGTCCATGCACCCTGCTTGTATTGTGATCTCTCTGAATCCCATGCAGAGTATGTCAGGAAATGAATAAGTGAGGTTCTAATAGTGGCAGTGTTTCTCAAGGTGTGGTGTGCTGATTATCTGTTTCAGAATTACCTGGCATGCTTCTGGAAAACATAGACTTCTGGGATGAGCCCTACAGATCTACTGAATCAAGGTCTCTGACATAAAGATTACAAGTCTATGTGGTCAACAAATGTTCCAGATAATCCTTATGAATTCTAAAGTTAGAGAACTACTAGCTTCTGTTGAAATTAAGTGTGCTATCTTAAAATTATCTTCTAATAGGCTTTCAATAGAATTGGGAATTCAAATAATCAACTTTAAAAATAAGTTTCATGGATCAGCAATGGCCCTACAACACATTCTTGGCTTGTCAGATTTGATACCAATTAAAATCATCCTAAAGTTGACCCTTAGAAATATAAGTATCTGAGTCCTGCTCAATAGTAACTCTTTATAGATCAGAGACTTATTTTCAGGGGTGGTTTACATGGTTTGGAGTGCATGCATGTGTTTGTGAGTGTATTTGTGCATGTGGGCATATGCGTTGTGAGAAGAAAGGGGAGTTGATTGGGTTCTGTTGTGCCTGAGGACTTTAGATCACCTCTTCATACCCAGATCAAATACTTACAGAATACTAAGAGGAACTCATCTTTTTTCCTTTAGTGGAATGAGTTTAAGAGATTTTCTTTTGCCTTTTTCTTTTCTTTTTTCTTTTCATTACTTTTCTTATCTTTTATTTTCTTTCCATTCCTTTTCTTTTCTTTAAGATTTCATTTATTTATTTGAAAGAAAGTTAGCACACAAGAGGGAAAGAGTGAGCATGAGCAGGGTGGGGTGGGGGAAGGGCAGTGGGAGAGGGAGAAGCAGAGTGCCTGCCAAGCAGGAGGCTTCCTGCTGGGTTTAATCCCAGGACCCTGGAATCACTACCTGAGCTAAAGGGAGATGCCCAACCAGCTGAGCCACCCAGGTGCCTCTCTTTTGTCCTTTTCTTTTGCAAATGAATAGATATCCCCTATATAAACTATTCTCATGACTCTTGTTTGTGTTTTGTTTTGTTTTTCTTTTGAAAAAAAAAATTCTATAGTGCAAAGATGCAAAAAACATCATTAAAAACCAGTCAGGGTGTTTTTTATCCTCACTGCTAGAAGTCATTTCTGAGAAATGTTTATTGAACTGTGATATACAAACAGAAAATACACAAACTGAACATCACATTTAGCCAGTATTGAGATCAAACAACAGAACGTCATTGAGTCCCCAGAAATCCCATTTGTCCCTCATTTCAGTCACTAAAACTTTCCAAGAAAAACCATTTTCCTGATGGCTAGAAGCAATTTTATTTCTCAAAAATATCTAATCATTTTACTTATTTTTTTCTGTAAATATTAATCTTGCTGCACATATTGGAATCTTTAGCATCTTGCTGATCTATATTAATCCAGTCTGAACTTTCCTGACTACTTGCTGACTTTTTAAAAAACCCTTTTGTTTTATTAATTTATAATTCTAGAATTTTTCTTTCATTAAGTGACGGTCTCTACATTCAACTTGAATCATTTGTTTGTTTCATGTTTTGTTTCTAACCTGTAATGTAGAAATTAAAATTTCAGGGTAGTATTAAGTGTGTAGTTAATATCAATTAGGGAACACTTTAGGCAATTGTTTGAACTACCTCAGTTTAAAACAAGTGGTTGGTATTTTTTTCCATTTTATCTACTGGGAAAACTTGATCAACAAGCAAACCAATTGGTTGGATATAATAAACTCAGTGCAATAATTCACTGGAACCAGGAATAATTCATTAAGAATTTATATTTGGTGTATTAGGGAACGACAAATAAAAAAGAATATGGGGCTCCTAGGGACTACACATGATTTTCCTTTGTGGTCATAAATCAGACTGGTATTCTCAGCAATAGGCAGGCCTATTGTCTATAAGATTAAAAAGAAAGGTATTATGGGAATGTGAAAAGAGTACTGTACTTGGGGTCTGAAACCTTGTTGTGACCAAAGGCAAATCATATACTCTCAACAAGAGCCAGTTTCTAAATCTATGGAATGAGGATGATAAGATTTCCCTTGAAAAGTTGTGGTGAGAAGTAAATAAGATTAATATTTCTAATCATCTGAGAAAATGCCTGGACATCGTCATGCTCAGTCAGTGTGGCTTTCCTCTCTTTCCACATAGCCAGATAGCGTGTACAAAGAGGTTTAACATGGGAGGCCTGTTCTATTAGAAACAAGAACGCACTATACTCTATCCACTTCCATACATTTTCTATTTATTTATTTCTTATTCTAAAATAAATACATGCTAATTAGGTAAAAATTTGGAAATAGAGTTATGTCGAAGAACTCTCTTAAATTCCATACTCTCAGAGACACACAGTCAATATTGGTTTCAAGCATCTCACTTACCACCGTATTTTCTTCATACCCCTCTGAATGCTCTGTACATAGTAGGTCTATCAGTGTGTCAAGAATTGAACTTTTTCCAAAAAGATATGAAAGTGGTTGTAAATCCTTTATGACTATTCATTATTGGCTTAGCATGAAACTCAGCAGATTTTCTTGTCAACCTGCTATTTTTCTCAATCCTCAAGGACAGATACGTGTCCTCTTAACTTCTTAAATAGCTCTAGGGACTGAGATTACAGTATCTCTTTTCATAAGAGGCTAGGTCTACAGGGTAGATATTAGTAAAACACACCATTTAAAAATTATTTTATTAGAATTTTAAAATGAAAGCTGGGTTTTTCTTTTCTTTTTAAAGGAGTACAGCAAGGTGGAAAGCACTGAATTAGGAATTCCAGGAGCTGAGTTGTAGACCCCCTCCTTCGTTCATTTCTCTGCCTTGTGATCTAGGTAAGCAGTACAACTTCTGTCACCTTGTAAAAGCAGAGAAAATAATGACTGCCTTGCATTTCTTTTTATGTGGTGATTGTGGAAATCAATTGCAGTAATATATGTGGTAGTGTTTCACATAACAAAGTGCTATAAGCCTTTTGTGTTGACATGGTATTAATAGGAAAAATAGTGTGCGTAACATTAACATAAATATATCTTTTAGGCTATATGTGCAAACAACAGAATTTACTTTATTTTGATGCTACTTCACAAACCTGTTATGTGTGTGTCCTTAATAATTCTCATGAGTGTATAGAGGCTGAAAAAAATACCTAGAATCACAAAAATTCCCCAATTGCCTGGAACTTTTGTGGATTATCATGTCACCTCTGTACTAAGTTCCACTCTAGAAATTCAGAACACAGAATTAGAAAAAGAGATAATAATTAATTTTCCAGCACCATCTTACCCAAGAATAGAGTTCTGTTTATATTACCATTTTTGCTCTATAGATACTTGGATACAGCATGATGATAGTAACTGTTATCCAAGGCATTAAATGGGCTACTTAGCATTTGGGAAAAAATAGCATTAACCATTAAATATTATAATCATGATTCCCTTAGACATGTTGTAACATTTCTGTGTCTTTGTGCAGAAAGAATATACGTTTTGAAGTTAGAACAAATTGGTTTTGAACCATTGCTCCACTTCACTAGCTTCGTGACTTGGGGGTAAGTTATTATCTGCTCTGAATCTCACCTTCATTACAATTCAATGAAATGGTGTATATTGTGTAGTAAGGACAGTGCTTGGCACACTTTTGGCATTGTATTAGTTCACTTTTCCTTTTCATCACGATACCAAAATGTTTACATTTTTTTTTAAGATTTTATTTATTTATTTGACGGAGAGAGACAGATCAATGTAGGCAGAAAAACAGGCAGAGAGAAGTGGGGGGATGGGGGTGGCAGGTTCCCCGCTGAGCAGAGAGCCTGATGTGGGGCTCCATCCCAGGACCCTGGGGTCATGACCTGAGCCGAAGGCAGATGCTTAACCCACTGAGCCACCCAGGCACCCCTAAAATGTTTACATATTTTAATGGAGATGAGTGTTTGATAACTTACAATAACATGAAAAATCTATTCCACTTATTTTTCCTAGGCATAGTATAAAAATCCATGCTTTTATCTGCATGGATTAAGAAGTAAAGAATTATATTTTCAAACAAGATGTTTTATTGGGAATTTGTTTACCTTGCTTAATGCAAACATAAGCTATAATTGGATTAATGACTTAAATGTGAAACTAAAAGCACATAAGGACTAGAAGAAAGTATAGGAGGATATTTTAATCATCTCAGATTGGAAAAAGTTTCCCTTTACATGATAGATGCTCAGGGATCGTAAGAGAAAAATATGTCATATTTCATTACACTAAAATTTAAGGCCTCTAGCAAAAAAAAAAAAAAAAAACCACACACACAAAAAAAAAAACCACATAAAACAAAGGGTGAACAGTGGAAATTTATTTAGAATTCAGAAGCAAAGCCTGGTATCCTTACTATCCTCAAAGGCCTTTGTAAAGAGCTCGTACAAATCAATAAAAAAAAAAAAGGTAGGGGCACATGGGTGGCTCAGTGGGTTAAAGCCTCTGCCTTCGGCTCAGGTCATGATCTCAGGGTCCTGGGATCGAGCCCCACATCAGGCTCTCTGCTCAGCGGGGAGCCTGCTTCTCCCCTCTCTCTCTGCCTGTCTCTCTGCCTACTTGTGATCTCTCTCTGTCAAATAAATAAATAAATAAAATCTTTAAAAAAAAAAAAGGTAAACAATTTAGTACAGTAAACAAAGGTCATGGAAGGGCATATGTTTAGGTAACTCCTTCTTTCCACCTAAAAAAGAGTTACCTTGGTAATCTTGAGTTCATGTCCTGACAACAGAGTATTAAACCATCTTTATAAATGAATGGGAAGACGGTGATCCTATATTTTGCAACTGTGATCAGCTCTGCTTGGAATGAATGAATTTTCTTGACTGAAACCTCTAAGTTTCCTGAAAAAAAAAAAAGTGTTGTTTAAATTCTTGGTTTTTAAAGGGGTGATCTTTCTAAACATGTCTCTTTACTTTGTCTTCTTTATCAGGGCATTAAAGAACCCATACTTAACCCTTTCTTGATGACTGTATTCATCATCACAGGCATTGATGATTATGCAGTGCAGTGAGGGTAGCCAGAGCCCTCTACTCCTGTGCTAGTTAGGTTAAGATGGCTGTGCGGTTTGAATTCTTAGGGAGATATCAACACTAGCAATAAAAGGCAATCTTATAAATTACAGTTACCTTTGAAAATCCCCTGGGGAGTCTCCCCTGTGGAGATCGATGTATAATCATTCTCATAAGAATTCCAGAATAGCCTTTTCCTTGGCATGGGAAAGACTTGCTTTTACTATGATTAAGCCTCAGATAAAGTAGTTGGTTCACAATGTGATACCAGGTTCTATGAAAAAAAAAAAAAATCTGCATTTGACCTCTAGGGCACTTGTGTTCTGTTTATACTTTACATCAATGTGCTGATTACATCTTCATACCTATTCCATGAAATACCCATTTTACAGGTGAGTCAGTGGAGGCTTTGAGATATGAAATCCTTCACCAAATCATGGTGAGGACATGGGACATGGGACAGACTGTGATTTTGATTTAGAGTAATCCTATGTTATACTAAATTTCTTAGAATTGTGTGTAAAATAAAACTAAACAGGTTCTAAGTGAGAGTCCAATAAACTTTTCACTGAATGAAGTATGAAAGTTTTAGGTATGAGCTTTGGAAGTAGGTGTATACTAGCTATTCAGAAATATGACCATCTTCTGTTCCTCATTAGCATACTGCCTAGGTGAGGTATTACTTTGCATATCTGCAGAGATGATAACTAAAGTATGAGGTGCCATAGTTTATAACGATATGTTTTTGATCATGTATGCAGCTTGCCACACCATATTGTATAAAACGCATTGTGATTGAGCAATGAATTTCATCTTCTCCTGGGTATCTCGCATTTCACACCTCTATACTGTCTTTGTCCTCATGAATCTTTCATTGTGCCTCAGAGTTGGGTAATAGAGTTGAACATATCAGGCATGGAAGCTTTCCTGGAAGGGATGTCTATAATCAGCTGATGAACTGAATATAATTTAGCTATGCATGATGTAACTCCTTCCATATACACCCCACAGGAAAACCCTGAGTAAGGGAAAACAAACCCACCACGGCATGTTCACTTTCTATTCATGACTGCACGATCTTGGTTTCTAGTACTCTGGAATCAAAAATGGTGATGTGAATAGCCCAAGTGAAGGTGAGGCTCTGAAAAACAGGGAATTTTATATAAACCTCCCTTGTAATGATTGTGATCAAATTACTTAATGTTCTTCTGTTCTTTCTAAGAAGACATTAGCTAAAGAATCATTTTCCAAACCTTATTTCAAGCAATTAACTCAAATACTTGCCCACATGTTTGCGATTTTATGACATAGAAAGTTTTTCCTATTCTCTTTTCATTGTTCTCAGTGAGAATTCTTTGCATTACTCTTAGGATGCATCTCTGGTGTCTTTTTCAGTCATGACTCCACCCCCTCTGTCCCCCACCCCAACCCCCCATAGCAGCTCCACAGGAAGAGCCAGTTGGAACACATTTGTTAAATTATACATTTTACTTATTTATAGTCTATTTTATTCTTTTTATTAAGCCCCTGTTGTTACAGAATTTCTTCAGTTTCTAATGTTTGAGCTCCCATGAATTACTCCATTTTTTTTTTAACTTCAGAGTTTGAAATTACTCTTCCTTTGTTTTGTAAATTCATGTGGATTGGCAGCTCCACATTTTCCTATTCCCACCCCACCTTCCCTTTTGCTTGAGAGAATGAGGCTGCTGGTGGCCACAATTTGGAAATGGTGCCTAATAACATTCACAGGCTGGTGAGCTCTTGCATAACCCCTTCAGGCCTTACTCTCTACGAAATGCAGATGATACTAATAACACCTTGTGTAATCAATGTGAGGATTAAACAAATGATGCATATAATGTTCTTGGCAAATTGTCCTGTGTGAGAGAAATGTTAATTATTGTTACGACTGTCATCATCTCATTTCTCGGAAGTCCTTTTGTATTTGAAACTTGAACTACACTTTGCAGTTCATATTCACTTGGTATTTTTTGGAATATACGTTAAGTTGTTTTGATTTCAGTTTTCTTACCCATTCAGATTGCTCCTTACCTTCGTTTTTCCTTTTGCTACCACCCTATTTTTCTCCTTTCAGTAGATATTGTCTGAAAGAATGTGCTATATTATCAGCTCTGGGTTCAGAATTTTAGAAGCCATCAGCTCTGAAAACATTGTGGTATGCCATACATACCACATTATGGTACCATCCATACATAAACCGAAACAAAGTTGTATTTTTTTTAAATAACGTGAAATTTTATAATAGTAATCTCTAGTTTACAGATGATGAAATTAAGGGAAATTTTTCACATTATGATTATAAATTTCCAAATCAATTCACTATATTTGAATTTTTTGCTTTTTCAGAGGGCTAACTGTTGAGCTATTAGTCTCTGCATTAAATAAGTCAGACTTGTTAAACCAGTTGCCATTTCTTTAGCACACACAATCACACTCTCAGTGAGCAAGAATTCTTGTCCCCTCACAGGGCCTTCTAGCAGGACTAAGAATCAATTTAACATGAGACCAGTTAATAGAAAATCAAATTTAATAGCATATGCATGGGGAATCCACAAAGACATGGAAATTCCAAAGATATTCAGACAAAATGAGGTATTTATGTCATCCTGAATTAAGGAGAAGGGGGTAAGGGTATGGGAATTCAGAAGAATGCAATTCATAGAGAATAAGAAGAACAGATGTTCAGTAATTAGATGTTACCTTGTTATGCAAATGGGTCACTTACATAAAAATTACCTTTGCTAATAACCCTTAT